TCACGGCAATGCACCCCTAGATCACGGCAATGCACCCCTAGACCACGGCAGTGCACCCCTAGACCACGGCAATGCACCCCTAGACCACGGCAATGCACCCCTAGATCACGGCAATGCACCCCTAGATCACAGCAATGCACCCCTAGATCACAGCAATGCATCCCTAGATCACGGCAATGCACCCCTAGATCACGGCAATGCACCCCTAGACCACAGCAATGCACCCCTAGATCACGGCAGTGCACCCCTAGATCACGGCAATGCACCCCTAGACCACGGCAATGCACCCCTAGATCACGGCAGTGCACCCCTAGATCACGGCAATGCACCCCTAGATCACGGCAATGCATCCCTAGATCACGGCAGTGCACCCCTAGATCACGGCAGTGCACCCCTAGATCACGGCAGTGCACCCCTAGATCACGGCTATGCACCCCTGGACCACGGCAGTGCACCCCTAGATCACGGCAGTGCACCCCTAGGCTGCCAGGAAGGGTTGCTTGAGGTATATAGAAGATGCGGGGAGAGGGGTCCAGTTCAGAGTTCACGCCCCTGCTCCCCAGCTCTCCTCTGAGATCTCACGCCAGGGCACCACCCTTCGGACCCCACGGCCGGTCTGCTGACAACCGGAGCATTGTGGTTCTGGCTGATGACTTAGGACACTGGACACCTCAACTTCCTGCCCTGTCTGGGCCCACGTAGGAAGCTGGCTTCCCATAAAACGGAAGGCTCACCTGTTGGTACGGTGTTCTGGCCTCCGTTTGGAGCCATCAGGAAGAGGCGAGCAGCGACCACCATGCCCTAGCCCAGGACTCGGGGGCACTGGGTGGGCGATTGTCTCTACTTTGCCACTTTTGCTGCTCAGGGAGTCAGAACGGGCCAGGTTCCCACTGTCCTGGGCGGAGGCCAGCTGGCTGGGGCCGTCCCGGGGAAGCCGCTTGCTGCTCTCCTGCGTCTGGATTCGCACTGCAGGCACAAGAAGGGCCAGGGGAAGGGACTCAGCGAGGGCCGGGCCGGACGCGCTGCCTGGCGGGGTGTGAAGGAACACCACTGGCGCTTGGGGATTCTGCGGGTGGTGGGCCTGGGACCATGTCCTGCTCTATTTTGAGACACTGGATTTTAGTGTTTTCAAAAGATACTCACCCTCTATCGTTTGGGCAGCCTTTTTCTTATCTTCAGATCTTGCCTAAAATGTAAATGAATGTCAGGGTTGTTTTGGATTTAGCAGGAAGCAGTAAAAAAAAAAATCATGTTGTAGGAAATAAAAGATCTGTGAGTCATGGTTTGTACCTTGGGCTGTGCCAAACTACTACCGTTGGTGAGAGCAGAGCACGCTGGTCTAAGGCCTCTTGACTGAGGGAATGGGCACCGTACGGGGCCTCACGCTCAGCTGGTTTCATTTAGGGCTGGCTACTCAGCCGCCACCTTCGATTCTCCCAGCCCAGGCCGAGAGCCCTCATCGGTGCCGGCCGGGAGTGGTTTGATTTTCAGATCTTGGACACAATATATAAACACAGAATTCGTTTTCCCTTCGGATGCACTCACAAGCTTTGAAGGTAATTTTACGCGTGAGATGAAGCGCCACCGTGTGGAATGTCCACTTGTGGCCTCGTGCTGGTGTTCCTCAGTTTCTGGAGCATTTCAGCTTTGGGATTTTTTTTTTAGAGGTGTCTGACCTGTCACAGCTGGCCTGAGTCACGATGGGAAATGTATGGATCAACCATGGAGTTTTGCGGCACAGAACCTCTCTGCGACTCCAAATGCATTTCCAATTGGACCTTTCACAAGACTAGCTCCTGTTTCTTTGCATGAACTGATATTTATAGGGATATTTTTTTTGTCAGTCATGGGTCTTGAACTCAGGGCCTGGGCACTGTCCCTCAGCTCTTCAGCGCCTCAAGACTAGCTCTCTACCCCTGGAAGTAGCACTGTGGCTACTTCTGGTTTTCTGGTGGTTCATTGGAGATAAAGAGTCTCATGGACGTTCCTGCCCAGGCTGGCTTTGAACCATGATCCTCAGATCTCAGCCTCCTGAGTAGCTAGGATGACAGGTGTGAGCCACCAGCACCGGGGGCCCTTTCTGCACAAGGCCAGGGAGCAAAGGGAGGCAGACACAGCTGCCACCTTGACAGAGGATGGGGAGGGACCTCCTCTCCTCCTTCCCAGCTGGCTGGGACCCACGGAGGAGCCTGGCATAACCCTAACCCTAACCCTAACCCGCTCTGTGTGACCGGCACAGGTGTGGGTGTGTTCAAGGCACCAGCCCCTCACAGAGCAGAGGGAAGAGGAGTAGGCTTGTCTCTGGAAAATGTGGGCTGCCACTCATACTCCCGGAAAAGCTCTCAAGGACACTGGGGCGGTGGCCCTGGGCCTCGGGAGTGGGCTGCTCTGGAGAGTGTCACCTGGAGGTCTGAGGGACCCAGACCCCCCAGGGCCCGGTCAATGCAATACTTGCATTTTGTATCTGCATCCGGAGCTGTTGGTTGCTGAGCCTGAGTGACCGGGCAATGCTCTGCAGGTAGTAGATGAGCATGCTAGGAAAGACGGCCAGAAGTTGAGTGCCACGCAGCCCCGGGGCTCCCGGGCTGCGTGGGCAGGGCGCTGGGAAGGTCGCTGGGCAGGGTG